GCTGGAGTCTGAGTGGATAAAGAAATGTGTGTGAGGGTCTGGCCCAAGCCCACTCGGGTTACAGCCCCAGAAGAGCCATAATGGGGAACAGGCGCATTCCTGTACAGCGACTCCCAACTCCCTATCTGTTTTCAAGGAAAGAAAAACAGAAAAAGAATGTTAGAGTCTTGGACAGGCATGGGCAAGGCGGCAGTAGCAGCCTGGGTCCAGGAGGGTTCTGCCATGTGGCCATAACGACTTCCTAGAGAGGAGGGGACAGAAGTGGCCGGGGCAGAGTGTCCTAGTGGAAGGCACATGGCGCTCAGAGGCAGAAGAGCTGGATTTGGGTTCTGGCCTCTGCCTGGGAGTAACTTCGAAGCCTTGAATGGGGGTGTAACATTCCTGAGCCTCTATATTTCTATCAGGGAATGTGGCAGAGTTTTAGGATTCAAATATTTTAAGCAATTAAACTTTTTTTTTTTTTTTTTTTTTTTTTTTTTGTGGTACGCGGGCCTCTCACTGCCGTGGCCTCTCCCGTTGCGGAGCACAGGCTCCAGACGCGCAGGCTCAGCGGCCATGGCTCATGGGCCCAGCCGCTCCGCGGCATGTGGGATCCTCCCAGACCGGGGCACGAACCCGTGTCCCCTGCATCGGCAGGCGGACTCTCAACCACTGTGCCACCAGGGAAGCCCAAGCAATAAAACTTTTAAGCCGAGATTTTTAAAAAAGTTTTTATTTTCAACCTAAATAAAACATGGACCATTAGTATATAAATAGATCAAACTGGAGTTGATCTGGTTGAAGGTTAGTATAGGTATAGAGGAGACAGACTTCAGCACCCACCATATCTGCCATTTCTTCTTATCCGCAGACTTCTAAATATTCTAATTCTGAAGCCACTGTTAGAATGTATTACATGTGTGAGACCTGTTGAACATCTTCTGTCTCTCCTGGGCATTCTATCTTTCTCAGAGATTTCAAGTTTAAGAAGATGACAGGGTGGAGCTGTGTACCACGTACATTACAGTGCCCGGCACACAGTAAATACCCAGTAAATAAAGCTCACATTCGTGTTGAATAAAGTTGGTCACAAACTGAGGAGCACAGGCTCCTGGGGCAGCTTTGGAAGCTCTTCAGTTCTCAGTGATTTTATCTCAGTGCGCTGGCTGGTATGAATTATCTCACAGGCCATAGGAGTGAAGAGACCAAGTTTAGTTCCAAGTCTACCTCCCACTTTGTGTATGGCCACAGACATGCCACCTTCTTTATCTGGGCTTTGGTTTCGTCACCTGGAAAAGGAGCCATTTGGATACAAATAACCTCTAAGGGTCCTTATATCTCCTCTGTTATGATGACACAATAATAAAAACAATAATGATAGCTGATATGTTTTTTGTGCTCTTACTGTATACCAGACATTGTACTAATAATTACAAATAGTTATTATTTGTAAACAATATACATTAGACAGCATTATTATACCCATTTAACATATGATAAAATAGATGTAGAGAGTCAAGGAACCTGTCCAAAGCAAGCTGTAAGTGGGGATGTACCAGGATTTAATTCTAGGCAGTGTAAATGCAGGGCCCAACCTCTTAACCACTGCACTTTATTATTGTTCATTCGATTATAATGCTTCCAGACGTGGAACATGGTATACTGTGGAACCACAATACATGTGTTGAATCGCACTGGTTCACCTTTGTACATGGAGAAGCCCCCAGGCCTTTCTTAGTTGCCCCTCCACTGGGAAAGGAAGGACAGTGAGGGTCGCTGCATTCACCTGTCCCCTTCTAGCTTGCATTTAAACCTTCTGGAATAGAGTGCCAAAACAAGCAATCTTACAATTCACTTTATGGGTCTGTATTTAACAACCCTTCCTGTTGTCAGATTACAAGGTATAGAAGGCCTTTTATTGTTTCATTTCCCAAGCCCGTAGAGCTAAGAGAGTGGCTTGAATTCAATCTCAAACTGAAAAGAATTGAGAAAGTTCCCTTCCTAACACTGTCGTTTTTTTTTTTTTTTTTTAAACATTCTCTAGGAGGCAGCATAACATAAAAGAAAAGGTATGGCTTTGGAATTAGGATGATATGGGTTCAAATCTCAGCTCTGTCTCTTCCCAAACTTGTGAGCTTAACTTCAGCTTTATAACAGAGATACTAACATTTAACTCAGTAAGATTGAATGTTGTGAGGATTAAATGGGAAAAACAGAAGTTGGCACTAAGATATCAGTTTCCTTCATATTAACTCTTTTCATTTGAAGGTTATTATGTATATATAGCCCCAAACAGAACTGGACACTAAGTATCCTTATAATGTGCTTATAGGACTATTGATATACTCCACACTATCCAGTTTCTTCACTTGAACTAAACCTGTAAACCTTAGAACTGTGTGCCGGTCTTACTGACCAGACGTATTTATGGGGCTTTTATCCCTGGTCTAAATTATTCTGAAATGCATGGAAATATCTGGAAAACTATGTCCATTTGAAAATGAATGTCAACCATCTTTTGGCTTGAAGACAGTTAATTAATACAGGCCACAGGCATACTGAATTCCCTCACGAAGGGCCAACTCTTTCAATGGCTATCTGGAAACAAACTGAGAAGCAGACAGACATGTATCCAAGCTCAAAGAAAACAAATGCAAGCAGCCAGACACGGAATCGTGAAAAACCAAGAGAAACAAAGCCCTCACTCCATCCAGTGAATAGGCCCATGTTTTTTCTCCTTTATTTTTCACCCCATACATTATTCTGCTTTGATACCTATTGGAAGACATTGTTGGTTTATGATTTTACTATGGAAGAAGCTTGACATTAGAGACCTATAGAAGAAATAGGGATGCCAAAATTTGAGATAAAAGAAGCGTTAAATTTACCTCTTCATTTTTTAATAGCAAAACCTCTGGTTCTAGACAGACTTTCTTCCTGGACTCAGGCTTTCTTTCTAGATTCCAGACCCATAAAAGAGTCATTGACCCCTTGCTACAGAAAGGAAAACTGAGACTTGAGAAGTTAAGGGACCTGTGATAAATGGTAGAACTCAAATTCAGTCCCAAGTCTCCCTGGCAATAGCAGCTGAACTTGTATGTCCCTGACATTAGCCTGATTCAGACACTTGTTCTGGCATCTACATATCGAATCTATGAACTGTCTTTGTAAAAAGCAGAAAACAAAAAACACTACTCATCAGATCTGCTTTGTTGGACCATAGGGACAAATACGTTTTAGAACTGTTGTCCGTCTGAATCCGAGGGCCATCTAGGCAGTTCAGTCAGACACGTGTCACATGGTTCACTTGTGAGTGAAGGATGAAATTCTTCTTTACGAGACCAAAAGGAAGTGAGCTGTAAATTCTGTCCCCTCAGTTCCCTGGTAGAGAAGCACCGTGTCTTCTCAGACCCTTGGCCAACGTTATTGTTTCATGATGGTGCCATCACGTTGGATTGTCCTTAATCCCAAGTAGAGAGAAGATAGTTAACAGATGTCCTCCTCTTGTTTATACCGAGAATCTAAGCGAGGAGAGACTACAAGGCCCTCCATATCAGGCATGAAGAAGAACAAGAAATCAACAGTCGGGCGGCCTCATATCATTTCATATCGTGTGGTATACAATACCTCACGTGCCTCTAAAACCATCCTGTTTTAGAACTGGAAAGGAACTTAGAGGCCATTTAGTCTGGCTCATTTACTTTATTTTTAAGTGATTTTTATTGATTTTTTTTTTCTTGTTACAAAAGCAATACATGTTCCTTGTAGATAATTTTAAAACGAGAGATAAGCAAAAATAAGAGAGAAAAAAATACCCATTATCTAACTTTCCAGACAAAGCCACTGTTATTCATTTACTATATTTTATTCCTTCTTTTTCTAGATAGATAAATGTATAAAATGTCCACCAAAAATTATTCTGTAATAGTGTAACCTATCTTTTTAAACTTACTATGCAATGAATATCCTTTCAAATAACTTCATATTTTTCCACAATATTATTTTAATGGCTATAAAATATTCCATTGCATCATTGAACTATAATTGATATTACTGTTTTGATATCATTGAACATTTAGTTGTTTTAAAATTCTTGCTAGTTTAAATAGTACCACAATGTTTATCCTCATAACTTAATCTTTGTGCACATCTATGATATTTTATTTTTTCGGAAATCCTGACAGTGACTCTAGCACCTTCACTCTACAGAGGAGAAAACTAGAGTACAGAGATGGGAATTTAGTTCTCCAAAGCTATACAGCAAATTCTTCACAAAGCTAAGACTAGATCCGAAGATCCCAGATGTTCAGTTATTCTTTCTAGTCTTCGTCTCGTCTTCTTTATGAGCCCTATTTCTAGTAAACTTCAGCAGCCCCCTAAAATCCAATGGCTAGACTGACTTTTAGAAATCATGGGGTTCGGGGCACTTTCTCTTCTATTGTCCCTTCCTATCTTATGACCTTCATCACTAATCAGTCATAGAACTCTTTCCCCCTTAGCCAGACCAGTCTCTGTCCATCTCAACATGACACTCCGTGAATCCAGTACCAGTGCGTAAGAGTGACTGTATGACATGAGACCTATTTTATATCCTTAGTCCAACTCCTTCATCGTACAAGGAAGGAACCAGCAATTCCAAGGAGGCTTGCTTAAGGAGTTAAGAGGAAGTTAGTGGCAGTGACAAGGCCAGAATAGTTATTCTAGACAGAAAGCCCTGTCCTCCTGTTGCATTTTCATGCATTTTTATTACAGAGTAATTTACCTCATTTGAGCTTTGCTACAATCTTATCAAGGTAGGTATTACTATCTCCACTTCACAGTTGAGAAAATTCAGGCATAAATTTAAAAACGAGTCATCAGGAGTAGACACTGATCTGTGTCATTTTCATATCCTGTGCTTGTTCTGTCCATTAATCCTCTTAATAATGGTATCCAGACATTTGATGGGTTTGGACAATAACAGGAATGTCTGCTCACCAAGGCCTGAGCTGGGGAGCTCATCTTTCTTTGTCTCCCTCCAGGAGAATTCCTGAGTTTTGCCGATGACTTACTCTCTGGCCTGGGTACATCTTGTGTAGCAGCTGGTCGAAGCCATGGAGAGGTCCCTGAAGTCAGTATCTACTCCGTCATCTTCAAGTGTCTGGAGCCCGACGGTCTCTACAAGTAAGACATACTTTGTGTGTGGGGAGCGTGAAGCAGACAGGACAATTTTCAGTCTGGGAGGCAAGGCACGAGTCATCTGTCCAGACCAGCCTAATGTTTTATAGGCCAGTCTGTGTGTGCACCTTAATATGCTAAGGCTTAGAAGTGTCCATTGGAGAAGTATGGCCACAGTGAGTCACAGAATCATACAAGGTTAGTGATAAAGGGTCCAGGAGGCCAGTAACTTAAAACCGTCCCTCCTACTGATGAAGAATCTGCAGCCCAAAGAGGGAAAGTGGCAAGTTAGCAAGGAAGGCTGTGACAGGAGTCCCTGCCTGGTGTTCTTTTCTCAATTCCGTGATATTTCCTCTGAAAAATGTTAGATTAGCATATCAGAAGTGTATACATATATGTACTATATATACATATAATTTTTTTTATTAGTAGATTCATCCAGTCCCTTAGTAATAGTGTCATCATCACGCTTTCACAGAGTAGATTAGAGTCATTGCATCCAAATTTCTGGAGATGCAAAGGAAGTCATTCTAAGACTCATCTGTTCATCTCAGAGGGAAAACGGAGTCATTTTTTCTCTGTTTCCCAACTCAGTGAGTGTTGCCACATTCGGATGCAACCATCATAAGCTATAACATACAGTTCTAGCAACCAGCTCTCTTCATTCTCTAATTATGAAACCATAGGCCGCCTCCCTTACTAATCTAGAAAGCTGCAGTTGTTGACAAGGTGGGCATTGTTTTTTTTTTTCTTTTTAACATCTTCGCTGAAGTATAATTGCTTTACAATGGTGTGTTAGTTTCTGCTTTATAACAAAGTGAATCAGCTATACATGTACATATATCCCCATATATCCTCCCTCTTGTGTCTCCCTCCCTCCCACCCTCCCTATCCCACCTCTAGGTGGACACAAAGCACCGAGCTGATCTCCCTGTGCTACGAGGCTGCTTCCCACTAGCTATCTATTTTACATTTGGTAGTGTGTATATGTCCATGCCACTCTCTCACTTCGTCCCAGCTTACCCTTCCCCCTCCCTGTGTCCTCAAGTCCATCTCTATGTCTGCGTCTTTATTCCTGTCCTGCCCCTGGGTTCTTCAGAACCATTTTTTTTTTTTTGATTCCATATATATGTGTTAGCATACGGTATTTGTTTTTCTCTTTCTGACTTACTTCACTCTGTATGACAGACTCTAGGTCCATCCACCTCACTACAAATAACTCAATTTTGTTTCTTTTTATGGCTGAGTAATATGCCATTGTATATATGTGCTACATCTTCTTTATCCATTCATCTGTTGATGGACACTTAGGTTGCTTCCATCTCCTGGCTATTGTAAATAGAGCTGCAATGAACATTGTGGTACATGACTGTTTTTGGATTATGGTTTTCTCAGTGTATAAGGTAGGCATTGTAGACCAATTAATTATTCAACTCATTCATTTTTTTTCTTTTATTCATTGATTCATTCACTTATCCATCCATCTATCCAACCATTTATCCATCTCTCCATCCATCCATCCCATTCATCTATTTATTCTCTCTTATACTCCATCATTCATTCACTTATTTATTCATCAATTCTTTCATTCATTCACATTTTTATTTACTCATTTGTAACTCATTTACTTATTCAGCAGACATTGTCTGAAGATTTCCTATGTCTTGGTGCTGTGCTAGAATGCAAGTATAAATGTGCCTAAGACAAAGTTTCTACCCTCAGGTAATTTATAACTTAATGGTAGTATGGAAGACCACAGACTGTGGATTCAAATCTGGCTATGACATATTTAGTTGTGTAGCCTTAGATAAGTCGCTTTACCTCTATGAGCCTCCGTAAAAGAGAAATAATAAAACCCAGGTTGCAGAGTTGCATGAGAATTAAACCAGGAGCAACCTAGCATAGTATCTAAGTATGTGCTCAGTAAATATTAGCCCCTTCACCATCTGTAAATCTCCCTCCCCTCCAAAACACATCCTATCCCCACTTCCTCTGGAAGACCATGACTTTTCTGAAGACCACGGGGCTCTTTTGAACATGTGACATATTGAGGCTCATTGGTAACACCCAGTGCATTCACGTACCAAACTCAGGAATATCACCGTAAGATGGAAACCAGGGCTTCTGACTCTGGCTTTGCCACTGACTATCTATCTCACAGATGTTAGGGCCCAGGTTTTATTTCATTCAGAAGGGCAAACTCAGTTGGAGATGGTGAGAGCTGTAGGGATGAAATCCCAAAAGTACAACATGCTATCAGGTGTCTTCCAGTGGGACATGTGTGCAAACTTCACAGAGGCGATAGCATTTACCTCAGGCCTTCAGTAATGGTTTGGTATTTAGATCTTGGGAGCGAGAGTCTATAGCCTCTCAGTCAGTAAGCTCTGACACCAACCCCTTGGGCTTTAGGGTCACTGCATCTATGAAACACGAGTATGTGACTAGATTATGAGCTGTATGATCCGCTCCAACCCTAAAGACTATGATCGTGTGCAGAAAACAGCATTTTTGCAAGGCTGCCTGTGGCTGGTTTCTGGATCTTCTGTCCCTCACTGAGGGCACAGACTGCACTGGAGGCCTACAGAGCTGGGTTCAGATCTCCACCCTGTGCTTTCTCAGCTTGGCACTGAGTGAGCTGCTCAACCTTCCAGCCTCCGCTTCCTCCTTCGTGAAGATGTAGGTAATACGGTGTCTGGCTCACTGGGACCCCAAGAGGTTTGATGAGCTCGTAATGCACAGAAGTTCTTCACTTTGTCACAAGCCCCCAGCAGGAGAGTGAGAAGTGTTAGCTGTTACCATCGTTGCTCTTGTTGCCCTTGCTGTAGTAATAATTAATTTCAACTCCCTCCGCCTCCATTCTCCAGCTGCTGGGAGAGACAGCATCTAGCAGAGAGGGACCGAGCCCTGGCAGGTGATTCCTATCTGCTGAGACACAAGTAGTAACCCTGTTTCTGGGTGACACTGTGGGGACTTGGCGTTAGCCAGGCTGGAAGCCTACAGGCCCATTATGTAGAAAGCAGTGAAATGTTTTATGGAACCCCGAAAGCAATTAACACTTCGAGCTGACAAATCAGCTGCCATCCTTTACACACACACACACACACACACACACACACACACACACACACACACACACACACACACACACACACACACACACACACACACACACACACACACACACACACACACACACACACACACACACACACACACACACACACACACACACACACACACACACACACACACACACACACATACACACA